GTGCAGCCCGAGGGCTCGGCCGTGTGGGGTGTCCGGGAGGGACGGCGTGTCCCTCGGGGACAGGGTGTCCATCGGGGACAGGGTGGCTGTGCCAGCTCCGTGTGCTGCAAGACGGCTGCGAAATGCATTGTTGGCACAGCCCTGGCAACCCCCGGTCCTCAGTGTAGGGGACAGAGGGAATGAATTCGCCTCCCGCCCTGCTCTGGGCGCATGGGGTGATGCTGGCAGGTGAAGTGAGGGGAAGAGGGGCACAGGAGGAGGGAGATCGGGGGCGAGTGGGAGGATGAAGGGTGATGGCTGCCTGGACGGTGGGGCAGGCTCAGATCCAGCACCGGGGAGGGCAGTGGGATGAGCCACTGAGAGCTACCACAGAGTGTTGGAGGACCACGGCCTGGCTGGGCTGAGCAGCTCCAGGGATGTTACGGACACTGGGGCAAATATTCCAGCGGCCCCAAAAGGTTTGAGACTCAAATAGCACGTCTGCTCCCAAGCTGTAGAGCTCAGTTTGAGATAGATAGCATTTAGGGGCTTAACGTCACAGGTTGCTAGGTACTTTACCCTGGTAAGCTGGTTGAACGTGTGTGCTGTGCCCCACTGCCACATCCACACAAAGACAATTCTAAAAAAAACCCAAAAAACCAACAAATTGTAGCTCTGCTTTCAGGAAGCTGTAAAATTAAGCTTGCAACTTTTACCAGTCACCTAGTAGATTGCTCTAGTATCAAAAGCCCCCCTAAAAAGCATTGCCACCATTTTACCCCATGCCCTGTACCTCCCTGAGCACCCTTGTGGAGCTGGCTGAGCCCCCAAGGGACCCAACACAGGCGGCCGTGGGATGCTCGGGCCTGGAGCAGCTCACTGGCAGGCCCTGGCACACAGATGCTCCACGAGGGTCAGGCACGAGCTAACTGAATGCATAACTTTATTAAATAAATGCTTTGTCATGAGAAAAGACAAAGATCAAAGAGTAACATAAATTATAAGTTGAATAAATAGTATACAGCAATCTTCACTTTTTAATAAAATGTGAGATTTTTTTTAAGTACAAAATGCTAAACAGAGCATTAAGCTCTTCTTCCATTGTCAGTTTTTCACAAACTGCTTTTTTTTTTTTCCCACCAGTAAGATTATGAGTATTTCTTGTTTACTGGAAAACAAAACAAAAGAACAAAACCAAAACGAAACAACAGAGCTACCGTATGTATGTAAAGCTATAAAAAGCTACCGTAAAATGTGTAGTGAGTATTGCTTAAAGATAAAAACCAGGCAGGAAACTCGGAATCTGGTGTGTTTTAACAACTGTGTTACAATGGTGGGTAACGTGCTTGGCGACGTCTGTCCCGATGGCAGTGGCGGTGGCTGGTGGGGCTGGGGAGGGGGCCACAGCAGGCAGGGCTCCTAGCCAGGGCCAGGACAGCGGTCTGGAAGCGAGGTGAACTGACAGTTCTTTAAATATATAATGCTCCATTTGGGGGGAAAAAAATCAACAACAACAACAAAACAAAACAGAAAAAAAAAAAACCTAAACCAACAGCAACGAATTTTATGGGGAAGGTGGAAAAAAGGGGAAGGGGGGAGAGAGCGGAGAAATAGTGCAAAATGCTCTTGTACTAGTGGTTTTCAAAGTCCACTGCAGTACAGACAAGGGGTAGCCCAAGCCACTGAGCGCCGCTCCCCGGGCAGATATGGTGGAAGGGCTGTCCTGAGCCATCCTTGTCCTCTCCTTCCCAGCTCACATCCTAGATACCAACGTGGGCTCAATGCAAATACCATAGGCAGAGACCCCTGAGCCTCACGACCCCTGATGCACAAATTGCCAGCATCTCCTGGTGTGCCTCAACCCTCCCCAGCTTCCAAATCTGCCTCTTCTGGTTCTCTCCTAAATGCAAAGGGGTGCTGCTGGGTGCTGAGAATGGGAGCACCTCATCACTTCCAACCCCGAGGGTGACCAAGCCCCTCCTGAAGTCACTCTCATTCCCAGCACAACCCAGGCTCCAACCCCAGTCCTAAATATTAGTGCAGCCTGTAAACAGCCTCGTCCTGCCAGGTATCCTTAAGGGAGTGGGCAACTTGGGAGGGAAGGGAGGGGTGTCACTTGGTGCCCCATCCTGGGAAGGTGATCTGGGGGGTGAGGGTGGTGCAACCCAAATGTCCATCATCCTCCCCCCCAAGGTTCATGGGGACAGGACAGGCAATGCCATCCCAGTATGGGGTATGCAGGTGTGAGGGAAGCTATGTGGGATGGATTTTGGTACTCTGGGCTCCCAGAGCCATGCAGACTTGCTTTGTAGGGAGAGGACGGAGCATTGCTCTGTGTCTCCTTCCCGGTGTCTGTGGTGGCTTCATTGAGACACCACCATGGGGCCCTGTGAGCTATCCCTCACCCTGCAAAAGCATCCTCCCCAAAAGGCAAGGTCTCTAGGGATCTGCTGCCCTCTGCCTTCTCCCATCCCACCCCATAGGCATGTCTCCTTTCTCTGCAGCCAAAGGCTTTCAAGTTTTGGGAAATCAAACAATAAAACAAATAAACAAAACAAAACAACAAAAAAAAAAAGCAAGGAAGGGGAAGAGAGAAGGAAGGAAGGGTCCTGGGAAAGGCGGTACTGGCCTATGACAGTCAGGAGGTTTTGCACAGGGATCAGCAAGAGGACAGTGTCAACAATGGTGTCAAATGGCCCTTGGGGTTAGCACAAGCTCTTCCTTCTCCTGCTGTCTTCACCCCATTCTTCACTCGACTTGCATCCCAGCATTAACCCACCACTCTGGTTAAACCAACCCTGCTCTATCAGCTCTGCAGAGCCAGGGTCCCTCTCTCAGCCCCCACCATGCTCCCCTCCAACAACACAGTTACCCCACTCCAACAGGCTTTTTTGGGGGCAGATCTACATTTGGTGGCACACTTCCATCCAAAGCATGGGAAGGTGCTTTGTCCCCAGGCTGAAATGTGTTCTGCTGGGTCTCCATGGACGTCCATAGGCAAAAGTTGCCCCCAGCTGTCACTTGGAGGGAAATAACTGCAGGTGTCCAGTCCTGCCCTCCATCAGGGTAACGTCCTGGTGGGGGGCCCACAGGGCTTAAGGGAGTAATGTCATCTTATGGGAGGCTATGAAGGCTCCCAACCTGTGATGGCAAGAAGCCTTCATCAGAACCCCTTAGTGTTGAATCCCCCTTGTCCCATCCCCTCTGGTGGGGCCCCAGTGGTGCTGTGGACCTCCATTTTTCTCTGCCCAGGTCCAGGAAGCTCAAAAGGATTTGGGAGTTCAGGAACCTTCCACCTGAGATCAGCTGTGTCCTTTGGCCAGTGCTGGCTGTTAGCTCCAGCTGTGGCAGTAGGATGTGGTTCCCAATGGGTGTTTCCCCACCATAGCACCCAGACCCCACAGTTCCCTTTCCTTCCTTCCGTTCACTGCAGGATCTCCTCCCAGCACCAAAATCGTGGAGACCCTTGTCATGGATAAACAAGAGGCAAGAGTCCCAAAATCAAATGCAAACGTTGAAAACAACAAATGAGTCAGGAAGGCAGCCGAGGGCTGTCCCAGCATGCCCAAGGCAGTGGGTCTCCATGGTGCGGTGGTTGCTGTCACTCAGCAAGGAGCTGGGTCCCAGGCTGAAGGCAAGGGCCCATCACAGGATCTTACTGCAGTGTGGTGGGGATCAGCCGTGGCAACATGAGCAGTATCCTCAATGCAAAAAGATGGAGACTGGTGTTTCCCTACCCACGGGGAAAGCTATAAACCAGCCTTAACAAAAAACCACGATGAAACAAGTGGAGGTTTGGGGTTTTTTTCCCCTGGAGCAAACCACATTTTTGGCTGTGAAAAAAAAACCAAAAAAAACCAAAAAAACAAATCTCCATAGTTGGTCGTCTTTGTGGTGGCAAAGGGTGGTGAAGAGTTTTGGCCCTGATTCCCCTGTCCCCATGTAGGGATACTTCAGTCTGAACAGTGATGCAGTCCTCAGTGTTGATGAGCCCTGATTCCACAGGCACTGATGCTCCTCTGTAACTCTGCTTCTGTGCTAAATCCAGCAGGTTATTTGTTTTTGTGAGGGGCAGCATATCCCCCAGTTGCATATTACATTGAAACCTCCAGATTTCAAGTGCTTCGAAGAGGGAAAGCCACATCAATGCACACACACGTGCATGCAGGTGATGAGCACTTTCACACAAACAGAATCCTGTTTGTCCAAGAAAATTTCTGACCTTCCAATCAAGATGAACTGGACAGGGAATACTGTATTTCCTTTTGTGATGACTTTTTTTGAAGTCCACAGATACTCTCCGGGGGTATTTGTGTGTTTCCCTCCCCATCTTCTCTCCAGACACAAAGCAAACAGTCCCACGTCTCCTCCCTTGCTGAAATCTGCCTGGATTGAGGGCAGTCATTTGAGATGGTAATCAACTCAAGTGAGTCCCAGCAACATGGGGAGGACACACTGGAGGACTGCAAGGGGAATGCTTGTGGCCACAAGATTTTCTCTCAAGACCCTTCAGAAATCAACTAGCTAACACAAAAAAAAATAAAAAAAATAAAAATGAACCTGCCCAAAACCCGTACTGGAAAATCACCGACTTGGAGAGCTTCCTGCATCAGGGTGACCTCTGCTTGTGGCAGAGGGGTGTAGGCAGCGTTGGGGAGAGGTGCAGGACGGCAGAGCGGCCATGGCTGATTTGTCTCTGGCTCTATCCTTTCCTTGCTGAGTCCTTGTTGTCAAAAGGCTGTTGTAGATTCCGAGTCCTCAGTTTCTTCAGCGTTTATTTTTCTCTCTTCTCTTTTTTCCTTTTCTCTTCTTTCTTTTCTCTTTTCTTCTCTTTTTTTTTTTCTCTTTTCCTTTTCTCTTTTTTCTTTTCTCTCTTTTTACTTTTCCTTTCCTTACTTCTCGCCTTTCTTTCTTTTCCTTTCTGTTTTTTTTTAATTTTCCTTCCTTTCTCTTTTTTTCTTTTCCTTTCTTTTTTCGTCTTACATGAGATGAAAGGAATCGGAGTCCCGGGGCGTGGGGAGGTGCGGAGGGGAGGGCAGAAGGGAGTCTGGGTAGATAGTGATGGGGCGGAGGGAGGGGATGCGGCTTCACTCCACATTGCTGCTGTCGAACGCGTGGCACTGCAGGTCTCCGCTCAGGAAGTCAGTCCCCGGCAGCTTCATGCCATACTTGTCCACACACCAACACAACCCACGCTTCCGGCCCCGGGAGGGCTTGCACTGGGGAGACACCCAAGGGCAGAGATCAGTAGCTGGCCACCAGACGCTGTGGCTCCCTCCCTGGGGATCAGGCCTCACCCCTTTCACACCAGGGATGCAATTCCCCCACGGTAGGATCTAGCTCCTGCTGTTTTCAGCATGTCCTTCTCCCTGTTTCTACCCTAGCCCAGGGTTCTCTGACCTTTTCCCCTCGCTCACCAGCTCCGTCAGGGTGCTTGCTTCAAGCCAGAGGGCACTTGGAGCCATCAGCAAGGCCACCCACCACCAAATGTATCTGGAGATGCTTGCAGCAGCACCCCATCTGACCCAGCAAAGGAAAAACCTCCATCCTTCCCACTTGGGGCAGCAGCAGAGAAAAGCTTTCCTGGATGGGGAGCATCCTACCTGCTTCCTCTTGTAGAAGCCCTTGCGGTCGCAGTTGGGGAGGTGGACAGCACGGGGGACCATCCGCTGGCTACTCTTCAGCTCCTGCAGGGACGCCTCCATGTGCCTGCGGCATGGGCCCTGCACAGAGGGAGATCAAATGTGAGAAGGGGAACACCTGACAGAGCCTTCCAGCTGCAAAAGACCCCAGGTCCCCCGCTATGAGTACCCATTTCCCAGCAGTAAAAGCCCTCCCACTATCACCTTCCCATGGGAGCCTCATGGAGCGGAAGGTGAAGGCACCCACCAGCTCAAACTCCTGCCGGAGCTCGGGAATGACCACACGAGGGTGAGCCGTGTTCTCAGCCATGCCCACGAACTTGGCAAGGGTCAATTTCTTCCGGCGGTCCTTCTTCAGGGCTTCATGAGATGAGTGGGGCTTGCTTCTGCACAGAGAGCCTCTTTCCCAACCCCAGAGGAGATCTTTGCACCAGACAGGATGAAACAAATAACCAAAGGAATCCCTTTCCCAGCTGCTGCCTACGTCCCTGGTTTTATCCCACTGTGTGGAACTTCACAAAGTATTTTTGTGACCTCTGAGCTCGGGACAGGAAGGTGTCTAGAGAGCATGGAGAAGACAGAGGTCTAGGATGCACTTCTACATACAAGGGCCATCATTGTTTTTGTGGAAAAAGACCAGTGTGAGGGTAATCCTATCTCCAGGAAGGGCCAGATGACACATAAATGAGGCAGAGAAGCCCCAGTTTTATGCATGTTGAGAGGATTAAGTGACGAATTCATACTTCACCCTGCCTTGAGAACACAAGCCAGGAATGCTTGAAAATGAGACAATTTCAAAGCCAAGGTAAATCACACAGCACAGCCACCATGTGGCTGGGCAGGCACTTCAGCAGTGATACCAAAGATGTGTCTGACAAGTGCTGGGATCTTTGGAGTCCTCAGCTTGCAGCCCCACTCATAGGATCAAACCAGCTCCCCTCTGCTGGCACACACCAGGCAGCCAGCAAAGCCAAGAGTAACACTGCCAAGTAATGCTGCCTAACTGCCACTGATGGTACTGACAGCAAACGGGGACCATGTTTAGGTTCTGTCCATCTTAGGGTACCCATCTTCCTGCAGACCTCCCAGCATGACCTCTGCTGGATGGCAGGATGAAGTCAGGAGCCCTGAGCAGTTATATATAGGAGCAAGGTGGTAACAGTCTAAACTTAGATGACTTGTGACATTTAGTACAACCACCAGAGTGAAAAAGGGTTGTTTCTCGACTAAATATGAATACAGTTTAAAGCTCCTGAGATTTCCAGTCTCCTAACCCCTGGGTCTCCAGCCATCCGGCACTGATGACAAGTCTGTGCTGGGACCAGCAAGTGACCATGAGGAAACTCACTGCAGCAGAAGGAAAGCATCAGAGTAGCTGAAATCTGTTCCTGAACAGCATCTTCTGCAATTTCTATGCCAGTGAACCCAGCTCATCCCCTCCTACAGAAGGGAAAAAGGCTCAGGATTAAAATAAAAGCAGATATACGCCCCCAACAAGGCAAACAGGATTCTTTCTGTAGACCAGCTGCTTCCTGGAGCCCAGATGCAGCACCAGGAGGGAGAAAGGTGAAGATGATGCCACTGCTGCCCAGGGATACCTGAGGATGCCCAGCGGGGGGGACAGACAAGATGCTCAGTGGCAGATGGCAGTGCCAGACTGTCACACACCTCAGTTGGGGGGGTTTGGAGGTGACTGAGGAGGTAGGCTGGTCACTGGGTGCCCAGGACAACCAAAAGTGACCTTGCACTCTCCCAGCAAAAAATTTAAAGTTCCCCATAGCCACTTATTTATTAAAGTGGCCCTCTGCTTTTTCTGTTTCCAGAAGAACAGCACTGGATCAGTATCCTAAGCTCTATACCCTCCTAACTGCCAAGAGCAACATAAACAACCCCCTGCACCATCCTCCGGACTCATGTGGCTCCCCAGGACAGGATCATTTTTGCCCCATTGATGCTCATATGCTTGGGGTTTTATTCCTTGCTGGAAGACTCAACTGCTTGCACAGATCAGAGCTCCTCTACTCTAAGAGGATGACAGACAGGGGATAGAGAAGAAATTGAGTAAGCTGGGAATTACTTCCCAGAGAATGAAACAATATGAAGTGCAGTTGAAGTGTATCCTTTGCCTCAAAAGATACTCTGGAAACTCAAGGTCCGAAAGAAGAACAGAGGCATCTGCAGTGACTACGCTGTTCTTGTGGCCGTGAAACACGCTGTGTTCTGTCCCAGGAATCCCTTCTGGCACCCATCTCCAGGGCTGGATAAGGCGCTGCTTGAGTATCTCCCTGGGCTGCCACAGAGTAATAAGGGGAGGGAAGTTTCACATCGGTGCTGGCAACCCCCCCAGTAATACAGGAGGGGCACAGCTCATTACCTCTGCATTAACAAATAAGTGAGGCACAGCTTCTTAGCGCAATCCTAATAAAAACAAATAACAAATAAAGGATACAAGGCAGTGAGGATTCAGTCAGAAAAACAGTACAAGGTGTCCAGTCCCCAAGACTCACCATGTTTGCAGCAGCTTAGACTGTTCACATTCTCAGCACCTTTACCCTTTTGCAAGCACCTTATCCCTCTTCTCCCTGTAAGCTACCAGCAAGCCAGAGTGACCTGGGGACTAATGCAGAGAGCCCTTTCAGCAAGGATAGATGGGAGCCTGTGCTCTTGCAGACAACTGATGTGCACTAAAAGCTGCCCAGATCCCAACCCGAGTCCGGTACTTTCTGCATGGCTGAAAAAGCACCTGGAACTGACCCCCTTCAGTCCCCCTGGCATTCATGCATTCCCCCTCAAGCAGGAACATATGCTTGGGATGTCATACTACAAAGGATAGAAGTGATGGGACTCCTTCATCTGTGACTCAGCAATGGTATCTTATTTGGGTCTTTATATCCCAGTGATAACTCCATGGATGCCTTGAAGGGATCACTTTCCTCTATCCTCTTAGGTTTTTTATAGCCGAGTTTCCTTCAACAACAAGGCTGATGCAACCTCTTCTAACAAGCCAGTTTTGACAAACTGAAGGGCAGAGGTCTCTGACAGAAACTCTTGACAAGCTCTGGGCAGCTGGTAAGGGGCCTTCCCAGTGCCAAGAGGAGAGTGAAAGGCAGAGCTGGGGCATGCAGCACTCATGCAGCCCTTCCCTTCTCTTCCTGGCTGGCCCATCCACCTCAACCTGCAGCTGCCCACTGCCACCAGACCAGACACCCACATCAGCATCTCCTGAGCTCCTGCACCTTCCTTCCCATTCTCACCCACCAGCTCATTCATTAACCTCTCATAACCTCAGGCTGGCTCATGGCACGCAGCATTTGGCACTGCTGTGCCTCCCTGACTGAGGAGATGCTGGCAAGGAGCAATGCTGTGTTTCCCCAAATAAGCCCTACTTGTGTTGAAGACTCTGGAAGGAGTTCAGGCTGGAGTTCCTCCTCCCTCACAGTCAGGTTCTGGCCTGCCACACAGCCCCTTCCCACTTACTCCCACATGCCTGGTGGCCACCTGCAGAGGCAGAGCTGCCTCTCTAGGGGCACAAGGCATGAGCAAAGCACACTGCATCCCTGTGGGCTTAGGGCATGGGCAGAAAGGCCCTACTCATGGTCTCCCTAGATGAGGGACAGTGGGAAGCAGAAGGTGGGTGACTTGCACAGCTCTCTTCCTTCTCACAGCTCAGGAGAAGATCACCTCCCAGTACAGGTCCCAAGCTTACTGGCACAGAGAAATGACACAAAAGAATGATACTGCTAGTCAAGCTGAGGATGCCTGGCTAGCTTGAAGGTGGCACATGGGCTGTAGCCACTTCAAAGGGATGTTGACCCTACAGCCAAGGCAGGAGACTGAGCTCAACTCAGAGCCACCCCATGGCTTCCTGTCTAGTCTGATCCACTGTTTCTCAGGGAAAGAGGGGCAAGCATCTGGAAAGCCTTTTGATCCAGGCCAGGCCAAAAGGACTGTACTGTTGATGTCTTAATCCATAAGCCCTGGGAGGCAAAAAATACCCACAGCAGAGCATGGGCTGTCCTATGCCCTGTGCTGAGGCATAGTGTCTTCTCCCCACTCCAGGCTAGCCAGAGGAAGCTCCCTAACAGGAACCATTTCCAGCCATTCCCTGCAGAAGGGAAAGGGAGTAGCAAAATACCAGACACTGTTTCTGGAAAACCACAATTTGCTCCTGTTGGCTGCCTGCTGTCCTTAAGAGGTACCACTCAGAGCAGACTACACGTCATCCTGCCCTGCATCAAAACCCAGCCTAGTGCTCCTGGGCTTCAGATGCTTTGGACCCATGGGGAGGTCCCTATATGGTGGTGGGTGCACTTGCAAGGGGGAGTGGAGTGTGTGGGAACACTGCATCCCTGCCTGCTGACATTACAGAGTGAAGCATGAAACTTTTTCCAAATGGCTGGGAGGCTTGAATTTTTGTAACACATTTTCACTGGTTTCTGGCAGAAAGGATCTATTGACCGCTGCTCCTAATGAACCGTGCTTGTTACAGCCACAGCCCACTGCTAGAGGACTTGCTGTCCTGTTCAACACCAACACCAAAAGCCACATGCACCTAAGAAGTACATGCACAACCACAGCACAACCCTGATAAACAGCCCTTTTGATTATTATCATCATGATCATTATTATTTACAGCATAGGCACTAACATTATATACCACTTAAGCAGGAAGGTGTTGGAGAAAGATTTAATGGGGATCTCAGTAAAACCTCTAGCACAGGAACAACACAAATGTCACTCATGGACACTGAGAATTTGCCCAGTCCTCTTTCCCAAACTCAGCCATCTCTGTTCAGAGGTGCTCATTGCATATGGGGCTTAAGCAGGAATCCTGTTCTTACGTACCTGGCTGAGTATTTTCCCCAGCTGCCCTTCCCATTTGTTGCCACTCTAGAGGAGGAGACCTACACCAAAACTTCCTGGTATGGGCAAACAAATTCCTCCCTGACCTGGACTTGCACCTGTGGCCATGATGGAAAAATAAAAATTCCTCCCTCCTTGTCAGCACACAGAGACAGCTACTGTGTTTGCATGCTCAAGATGCAGGCAGGGAAGGGATAATGCAGGCAGGGAAGGGATGCAAACAGAGGAGAGTCATCTCATCTCGCACCCTTTGGCAGCTGGAGAGTACAACTGAGCAAAAGCATTCCTGAGCTCCCCGGAGGCCACCAGACTCAGCTCAGGCAGAAGCCCAGGAGCTTTCACCCGCTTAATGAAGAACAGCTCGCTTACATTCCTGTCCCAGGCACAGCCCCCAGCGCAGTGGTGACCGGCCCCCATCTCTGCTGGGGTGGTCAGTGGAGCGGCCCAGGCGCTGTGCCTGGGCTGGGGTCACTGCTGAGACCACCGCCCTGGTGAG